CGTATTTCCTAATCTACTGCGGGGCCACCGTCTACGATACGGCCGCAGCGCTCGTGGCCCCTCGTGAGTTGAAAAACGTTCCGTGGTCAGAGTTACTTGAAATTCTCACTAACCACTATTCCCCCAGGCCCTCACAGATTGCCAAAAGATTCACCTTCCGTATGAGGAAGCAATCGAGCAAGGAGACCATAAATCAATATATGGCCGCCCTCAGAACAGCAGCACTGCATTGTGGGTTTGGAACCTACCTGGAGGACATGCTCCTCGATCAATTAGTCTGCGGGGTCAAGGACCTCCACCTGCAAAGGCGACTCCTCGCAAAGAAAGACCTCAACCTCGCACAAGCAGTCGAGGAAGCCTTGGCAGCCGAGTTGGCAACAACATCAGCCACCGAAATCCAGGGCCCTAGCGCCAAGCTGACATCACTCCCAGTCCACTCCGAGGAGGTGGTAGCAGAGGAACCCATAAGTGATGAAAATGAAGTCCACCGCCTATACAATGACAGACGGCCGCAGGTAGGAGCCAGACAAGAAAACAGCGGTCCTCCCAAGCACATCACCCTGTGCCTAGCCTGTGGGGGATCTCATCAGAGGGCCACCTGCAAGTTTAAAGGAGCCACCTGCAATAACTGCCATAAAAGGGGACACATCGCGAGAGTCTGCCAAGCCCCCCAAAGCGCAGCACAAAGGCACCCTCCCTCGCACTCGGGACCACAGAGGCAAGTACTGAACTGTCGCACGCACCACCTTGCCAAACACACGTGCCACACTGTTAGTAAAATTTCTCTCTCCGTTTCCCTAGAAGGTAAACCGTGCCGCATGGAGGTTGACACCGGGTCAGCGCTCTCAATTATCTCGTGGAACACCCTTAAGAGGCTCCAACCAAGCCTATCCACTAGCCGGCTCCAGAGATGCCAGTTTGGCCTGAAGGACTACCAGGGGAAGACCATTCCTGTAATCGGCAGAGGCAAGTTCCTTGTCAGTTTTAAAGCTTTTAAAGGCCACCTACCTCTAGTGGTAGTTAACGGCAATCTACCCACCTTATTGGGGCTCGATTGGTTTCCCCATCTCGGCCTAGGGCTAACAGGAGTCCATGCTGTCTCAACCTCAGACACTGACTCCTTATTCGCTGATTACTCAGACGTATTCAGCGAAGAGCTGGGGTGTTATAAGGGTACCCCCATCTCATTCTCCGTTGACCCCCAAGCAGTCCCAATCAGACTAAAACCGCGTAGGGTCCCATTCGCTATTCGGCCAAAACTAGATGCAGAATTGGATAAACTATTGAAACAAGGGGTCATTGAGCCAACAGATTTCGCCAAGTGGGAGACGCCCATTGTCACACCCCTCAAAAAAGACGGTAGCCTGAGAATTTGCTCGGACTACAAGACGACAATCAATAAATTTCTGCAAGTTAGCGCTTATCCTGTGCCCGTCATCCAACACTTATTACACACATTCGAACCAGGCACCATTTTTGCTAAATTGGACATGTCTCAAGCATATCAGCAGTTCCCTGTTGATAACCAAACAGCGGAACTCCAGACAATTGTCACTCACAGGGGTGCCTTCCGATGCAAGCGTCTCCAATTTGGCGTAAGTGTGGCCCCGGGTATTTTTCAATCCCTCATGGAGCGGATTTTGCAGGGCCTCCCTGGTGTAGTACCCTACTTCGACGACATCTTAGTCTCGGCCAGGGACAGACCCCAACTCTTCCAAAGAGTTCGAGCTGTGTTAGAGAGGTTCAGACAGCATGGCCTCAAGTTGAAAAAAGAAAAATGTACCATTGCCACTAGACAGGTGGACTTTCTGGGTTATAAAATTGACGCCTCTGGCATTCATCCCCTGGAGTCCAAGGTTAAGGCAATCCACGAGGCACCCACTCCAACCTCCAAAACAGAACTGCAGGCGTTCTTAGGGCTATTGAACTTTTACGCATCCTTTTTGCCCCATAAAGCATCAGTAGCTGAACCCCTACACAGATTACTGGATAAAAAGTCACCATGGCACTGGGGGGACAAGGAAGACCATGCCTTTAACGCCGTCAAATCACTAATCACGTCAGAGGCGGTACTTATTCAATTCGACCCTAGCCTCCCTTTAGTACTGGCAGCTGACGCCTCCCCTTTTGGAATCGGGGCGGTACTAAGTCACAGGCTTCCCAATGGTGCCGAAGCTCCCATCGCCTTTTTCTCTAGGACGCTCTCTACCATGGAGCGCAATTATAGCCAGATTGATAAGGAAGCCCTAGCAGCTGTTGCGGCCGTGAAAAAATTTCACGAATTCCTTTTCGGCCATTTTTTCGAGCTGGTCACTGACCACAAACCCCTCCTGGGTCTCCTAGCCGGGGACAAGCAGACCCCTCAAGTCCTCTCCCCTAGGATGACAAGGTGGACTCTCTTCCTAGCAGCCTACTCCTACAGACTGGTACACCACCCGGGAAAAACACTGTCCCACGCTGACGCCCTCAGTCGCTGCCCCTTGCCGGCCCCAGCTGAAGACCCCGCTCCTGTCCACGCTATTTTCGAAATTACCCAGTTGGACCTACCCATCACGGCCATGGACATTGCTGCTAAAACCAACACGGACCGAACACTCGCCCAGGTGCTCGACTGGGTGAGGAGGGGGTGGCCGGGTGGCAATGTTGATAACAAATTCACACCTTTTAAGACTCGCATGCAGGAACTGTCAAGTCTGCAGGGCTGTCTACTATGGGGCACTCGAGTGGTCATCCCGGCCTCACTACGTACCCGAGTTCTGGAAGCGTTGCACGAGGGACATCCTGGCATCGTGAGAATGAAAGCGTTAGCACGCAGCTACGTGTGGTGGCCGGGTCTAGACGAGGACATTGTCAATTGGGTAAGTTCCTGCAACATTTGCCAGGAATCCCGTCCTGCTCCCCCCATTGCCACCCCCACTAGATGGGAAAACGCCAGCGCCCCTTGGTCTAGGATCCACATCGACCTAGCGGGCCCTCTGCATGGGAAGATGTTCCTGGTGGTCGTGGACGCTTATTCCAAGTGGATTGACGTAGCGCAGCTATCCACGACCACCACACTAGCAATCACCAACGTGTTGACACGCCTGTTCGTTACGCACGGGCTACCTGACTCCATCGTCTCCGATAATGGCCCACAGTTCGCATCGACTGAGTTCAGCCGCTTCGCTGCCAACCTGGGTATCCGCCACATTTTCACAGCCCCATTTCACCCTGCCAGTAACGGGCTGGCTGAAAGGGCCGTCAGGACCACCAAAGAAGCCCTGGCAAGGTTCAACAAAGATGACTGGCACCACAAACTCTCGCGGTTTCTGATGAGCCAGCACTCAACTCCTTGTTCAGTCACCAATAAGTCCCCAGCTGAGCTCCTGATGGGCAGGCGCCTGAGGACTGTATTGGACAGACTACACCCACAATACTGCCCTGACTCCCCCCTCGCTTCCTCATCGGGGGTTAGACATTTTATCTTACAGGAGCCAGTTTTCGCGAGGAACTTCGCTGGAGACCCCCTGTGGATCCCGGGCGAGATCGTAGCCATCACCGGGCCGCGATCATATCGGGTCAGACTGGAGGATGGCCGCGTCTGGAGAAGGCACATAGACCAACTGCGCAGACGCCTCAGCACCATCGCCAGCAGGGACCCAGAGACTCTAGACGAGGGAAGGTTTCATCCTCAGCCTCACATCCACATCACGCCCGGCGATCAGCTCACACCTTCAACCGGTTCAGAAAGCCCGAACACAGACAGCGGCGCCCAGACAGTTGACCAGCCCGATCCCGCCTGCGAGAGCACATTCCCAGAGAGCAACCCTACGAGCCCAGGGCAGGCCCAAACCGAGGGGCACACTGGGAACACTTTGCCGACTCTGCCAACCCAGGCAGACCCCGGACGGACAGACAATGTTCCAGAACTACGCCGTTCCGGGCGCCAACATAAACCTCCTGCCTACCTCAAAGACTATGCATGTTCGCATCTGGGGGGAAGGGGTGTTATGTCCTGAGAACTATAGGAGTTCTCACTCAGGTCCACTCACTTTGAGTGGGCGTTCTTTCCCCTTTCCTCATTGGTTGGTTCTCCCCAGCAGCCAGCTATAAAAGCAGGCTGCGGGGTCCAACCAGTCTCTGATTGCTGCGAGCCAGTTCCAGGCTTGGCAAGCACGGTCAGCCCTTTATTATTTAATAAAGTATTGTTGCACTCATGCTCTGGTTCAGCCTCTCATTGCTCAAACTTAACACTTATATAGTAGATTTGGTGGGCCTCTTTTGTTATGGCTCCCACCTTATGGAATATTCTTCCCCCTGAAGTGGTTTCTACTCTTCTAAATGTTTGAAGGTCCCTCAAGGACTAGTTGTGCCACCAGGACTGGAGACCCACGGGACTGGTGAAATATGGAGATGACTCCAGTGTAATAAATACATACCCTTTGCCTATTTTTTTAAACTTTTCTTTTTTGTGTTTGTCATTTAGAATCTTTATGGTTTTCATAATTATTGTTTTTTGCTTGGTGGGACGCTGCCTAGAATCCCTTGTTGGTGAGATGGGCAGCCACAGAAAAATAAATACACAAATAAGTAAATTTTGCTCTCTTCTGTGATGGTCCAGAAGGCACAATTGGATATTAGAGTTTGAATTCTACCTGAAACTCTTCTTACCTTCCATCTCTTTGTAGAAGAAGCTCAGGATGGTTGCCATTCAGAAACAACATTGGTAATTTGATTTATGCCACCAGAATTTTTTTTAAAAAAATAGCAGGACTCTTTCTTCACTCAAAGCTTCAAGGCAGGATGCCAGGAAATTTATTAACTCTTTTGTTTTGGTACTGGCAGTTTTATGATATTCCAGAGTATCTACATCTTATAATCGGGACAGGCGTTTGACTTTTATGAGAAATCATTGGCTGACTTGACAAAAAATGATCCCTTTCCATTCTTCAATCAATTCCAAAGCACTGCATTTCATACCCAATAGAAATGCCAAATTTTCAGTTATAATTTTTACTCACGTTGAGGTTCAAAGCTGTTCAGAAGTGGTTGTGCCCGGCTAACAGCAGCACCTGTGAGAGTCTTTACACCTTTCTCAGCCCCATCGCACACTGTCTGAAGGTAGGAGTTTTTTCGCTTAATGGAGGTGTAGTTTGAAGAAACCAAGTCACAGACGGAGCAAACCAAGGGCAGACTGCTAACTCTCTTCAAGATATTCTGACATTGAAAACCAAGAGAAACCACATCACTGATGCATTCCTGATTGATTAAGAAGCAACGTTGACAAATGGAATAAAAGCCATGCCATTTTCCTTATTGGGGGTCGTGGTGGCTCTGTGGTGAAGATGCTGGACTCGTTGGCTGGAAAGCCGGCAACCTAGGTTAGAGACCTGAGCGCCATGCAATGGAGACCCCATCCTTGCTCCAGCTTCTGCCAACCTAGCACTTCGAAAACATGCAAATGCGAGTAGATAAATAGGTACCACTCTGGTGGGAAGTTAATAGTGCTCTGTGACATCATCTGGCCACATGACCACAGAAATATCTTTGGATTACACTGGCCCAATGGCCTTGAAATAGAGATGAGCATCGCTCCCTGTTGTCAGCAACAAATAGCAAAGTAAAATCTGAAGGGACTCTTTTTACCATTTGTACCTTTTTATCATTTTTCTAATTAAACCCCTCATCTGAAGGAATTATGTTTTGTCTTCAAGGAATAAATGTCTAGCTACTGTATATTCGTTTCCATAGAAAAAAATAACAGATCCAGAATGTGGGCCTTTGTAACTGACCAAAACAGAGATAGTATGTAATATATTCTGGGATATTTTTAAATACAAAATCACATTAATTTCCTCTAGACTGGTCCCAAGTCAATCTTCTGAGAAATTAAAAAGTTATCCTGTATTTTAACACACATAGTGTTTTTCGATATGGGTTTGTGGGGAAATAAATCAAATCAAATCATTACATGATATGCATTAATTTCACATCATAGGAATTGCTTCTAAATCTCTGATAATCTTTCATTTGGTTTTTTTAAAAGATGAAGCTCCTATGCAATCCATTGAGCAATTAAAAAAAAAATCCGTAAAGTCTGTATGGCCTCAATCAGATTCTTGTTGAACACCTGCAATATCTCCCTATAATTTTTTAAAGGAAATGTTGCTGGGTTCTCTATTCTCCCAACACTCTTTCTTTCCTGTCATTTTCCTTAAATCTCTTTGCAACATAAGATAACAATATGAATGAAATGAAAGAAGACGTGAGGTCAACCTTCCCTTCCTTGGACTATGTTGGAAATGTCTCAAATCTCAACAAAACAAAACAAAACAAAATATAACTTCTGCCCTCGACAAGAAAGAGCTACCTCCTCTTCAAGGCTTTCGTCAGAGGTCTCTGAAGACATGGTACCTTGGTCTGGTTTCATGGAAGACATGGTGGGTTCTCTGGCCACTAGAAAAGAAGATAAATTGTTACCTAAAATGACAAGTAAGGATCATATAATAGCAGTCAGCTGATCCAAGGGCAGCAGACAAATGTCACCTTCTCGGTCTAATGATGAAAAATCCATCCATACATTTTCACTCTAACTATGAAATCTACTGGCTGACTTTGAGTTGTTTGCTACAACTCATCCCGAACCAACTTAAGGGCTGTTCTGAACACAGAATGGGGAAAGGATGAGAAAAATAAGTACACTGCATTGAGTCTCTTGGAGGAACAGTAAGACATAAATGTAGCAAATTAATCAATAAGGAAAAATATATTCCAATAGCTATCACTTTTCATTTATGGAAATTCTTCCATAGTTGAAAATAAAACATTTCTGGCACTCCTGAAGGCATATCTATTGTACTTTCCTTCTTCTTCAGAATATTAGGAAGTCCGATGGGCCCTTTTAAAGAAAAAATATCCTCTAAGTCAGCCATCCCCCACAACCTTTTGGGCATTAGGGACCGGTTCTGTGGAAAACAATTTATCCACAGATCGTGTGTGTGTTTGTGTGTGTGTGTGTCTGGTGATAGTGATGGTTTCACATGCTACCTAGATTCCATCAGGGGTGGGATTCTACAGGTTCGCACCTATTCACTAGAACCTGTTGTTAACATTCTAAGCAGTTCAGAGAACCGGTTGTTAGAAGAAATTACTGGCCTAATCCTGTAAGGAAGGCAGGAAGGAAACATTCTGGTGTTGCTTACAGAAACTGTCTCTCCATTAACTCTTATTACATTCTTGGCAGGACTAAACTTCCTGTCTCTGGAACTTCTCTGGAGTTTTTTTTCCCCTCCTTTGCTGGTACTTTGCTTGTGTGGAGTGACCATTCAGTTACAATGGCATTGAAAAAAGTGACTTATGACCATTTTTCACACTTATGACTGTTGCAGCATCCCCACAGTCATGAGAGGCCCGGCGAGGGGATGTGTACCTTGATGTGAGTGATGTTGAGTTGGTCACGCCCAGCCAGTCACATGACAACCAAGCCATGCCCACCAGATAAGCCACACCCACAGAACTGGTTGTTAAAAAATTTGAATCCCACCCCTGGATTCCGCCCAGGCACAGATGAAGCTTTGCTGGCTTCTGAGCCCAGTTCCTAATGGGCCACAGTTCAGCACCAGTCTACTGCTCAGGAGTTGGGGACCCCTGCTCTAAGTGACTCTTTCTAGGAGACGATAAGGCAAAGCGAGGTGACAAAGTGGATTAATATCAGAAGCAGGAATCAGGATAACCGTTAGGCTGCGGCATAGAAGATCTATTCAAGCCTATACACTAGAATCTAGTCAACTAAAGTTTAGCACTATATTGGTGCCAGATAAAGAGTTAGACTTGAAGTGCTTGCGGGAACTCAAGGACGCTAAGCTGAGGATGCCCCATCCCAGTTCTGCCCACCTCTGCCTGCTCCTACACCTTTTTTATATATATTAGTGGGTTTGCTTGCCTAGGAATGACAGTTCTAGAAATCCATTCCAGTTTCCCACAATGGAGTAGTGGGACCATAGTGCTCCAGAACCAGCAGTGTTTAAACTCAACAATGAAGCTCTTATCCCCCCAGTCTAGAACTGGGAGAACTTTGAATTACTCCAATCACCTTAACCACCATACTTAACAACTCACAGTGTTAACATTTTGGAATGCTTCCCATTGGCGAGGGCTTTATTGGCTCTCAGGATGATACTTCCTGTGACATGTTTCCAAACTTTATTCCCCGAGTGTACTGGGCTGTGTTGAAGCAAGACAATACTATTTTGTCATGGGCTAACCTGTGTCAAGTGGGGAAAACCACCAATAGGACAAGCTATGGAATTTCCATTGTTTCTTCAGTATGATAAGCACTCATGCAGGACATGTTTTCAACCAATCAGACTGCATATGTAAATTGACATCATTATGAGTTCTTCCCCCATTGGTTTTCAGCAGAAGTTCAGTCTATAATCTTATGCCCATTATTTGGCAAATGAATCTCTCTATGAATCCAATGGAGCTTATTTTAAGTGAACATGCATAAAATCAGGGCTCGCAAGCCATAAAACCTTGACTCCCTTAAAGAAAATTTATGGTTATCCTTTCAAGGCAATGACTGACGGATAAACAGTTTTAGTAGCTCCAAACATTGATGGCCAACATGCTTCGTACATTTTTCTACGTCAAATCTATAATCACCATTTTAAGAGAGATGTTAAAGAGTGGATCATTATAAGCAAAAGAACCTAAACCTTTAATAACTGTGTTCCAGGGTCACAATGGAAATATTGGTGCACATTAGTTTCCCGAAATCCTAAAACCCGGTCTCCAAACTTGGCAACTTTAAGATTTGTGGACTTCAGCTCCCAGAATTCCACAGCATAGCTGGCTGAGGAATTCTGGGAGATGAAGCCCACAAGTCTTAAAGTTGCCAAGAGACCCCTGTCCTAAGGTGACACCTTGAACAGAAAGATTCCAGTTATGTACCATTTCCCCCAAAATACAACCTATCCTGAAAGTAAGCTCTAGCTTGATTTTTACATGTGCACCCAATATAAGCCCTACCCCCAAAATAAGCCCTAATTAAGATCCCGCCCACTCCACAGGTAAAAATTAAGCTAGGGTGGGGATGGGGAGACGGAGCTGCCCTACTACTTACCTTTGGACAGTTGTAGCCAGGCCTCGCACATCCCGACACCTGCCTTGCTGGCCCATTTCTTCTGCAGCCAGCAAGGCTGCCAAGGCTTTCCTGAAGGTTTCTGTATCTGATAACAAAGCTCCAGATCAATCTGGAACTCTGTTATCAGCTGCAGAGGCCTTCAAGAAAGCCTTGCTGGCTGCAGAATTTGAAGTTCCTGAAGGCCTCCGACAGTGAAAAGGAGGCTGGGGATGATGTGTGCAAATGAGGTTAGTCAGTGGATGACTTCCCCAGTGCCTTTTTTGGTGGCAAAAAAAATATAAGACAGGGTTTTATTTTCGGAGAAACACGATTGTTAAAAGTGCATGGTGCAACCTTCTTCTGTACAATGATATCTTTGCATTTATAAAAATGTAAGTTGGTTTGCAAATGAGACATATTATCCAAAAGAGTTGAATTAAGAAGGGTACAGAGGGCCCAGGAAAACCATATCTAATCAAGTGCTTGTATGAAAAGGTTGGATTACAATTCCAAGAATTTCCACCCGGCTTAAATCTGTAGAACTGTAAAGTATCTTTTTGTTTTGAAAGATGTGGTGATTTTCCTTTTTTTAAACTCAGGGTTTAAATTTCTCAGGGAAAAAATAACCTGCTGTGAGTCTTTAGCTCCAGCAACAGAACTGATACGTTTTTGCTGCACATGGCAGTAGAAACACAGCAAATACTGCCTTACACATGTTGTACATGGTATTTATGTGTACTGCTTATAGAAATTTTGAACTGTACCTCAATTCTGTCTCTTTCTGAGTACATGAGAGGGGAATATTGTACTTAAGGTCTATAAGACCTTAATAATATTGTACTTAAGATCTATATTTGCTCATCCTGGATTTATTTGATTCTGGTGTTCCTCTCATGAATTTTGGATTCTTTACATGTTTCCTTCTGCTTTTAAAAATGTTTATAACAAAGGTATTAAACTGATTTGGGAATGATACACTACCCGGTCTGTATCGTTCTCCATAGCTAACTATCTTCATCAACCATCACAATAGGCTAAAATTGGAGGCCTCGCTAAGTTGCTGTCCCTAGTAAATCTTGTCTGATATCAAAAAAAGCTAATCAAGTTAGCCACCAAAAGATCCCAAGATTGGGAATTAAAATAGGAACATTCCAGGAGGAGGCAGTATCTAACCATGCCTGTATTGTTCCTAACAAAAAAATAATGACATAGATACATCTTCAAGAGTGAAACTTGATTCCAGGGAGATCTTACTTTTTAAAATAATAACAGATGTGTCTTCCTAATGCAGGGAAATATATTCTGCTCATGTTCACATTATTCTTATACCTATTCCTGAAAAACAGGCCGAATTTAAGCAAACTCTGGTTTAAAGGAAGTCTTGTTGATAGGAGCAACATTATATTAAGCACTTATTGACAGTGAAATGATGTTGGATTCTTTTATGCTTCTTTTAGTGCAACCTTTGCTTCTAAACTTATTGTGGTCCTTGAGAACAGTCCTTGAATGCTAAATGATGTGCAAACTTTTTCTAAGGAGAATGCCAGGTATTATTTTTTTGCTTGCCAAGCTTATTAAAGGTCATGAACAATGCCGTTTGCATAATTATATCATTTCAGAACTAAGAGAAGGATGAATCATCTATTTCCCACAGAGACATGAGAAAACAGCTTGATATTCACCTCAGACACCCCATTAAAATGCAAGGTAATGGTGCACCTGTTCGCATGTCCACCGAGAGGGCCCGAAGCATATTTCTTCATTATTGCATTCCAATGACACCACTGACATTTAGCTACCATTTTCCCTCACTTGTTTTGAGACCCAACGGTTTACCAAATGTCCTGGGGGGATGAGTATCCTGCCTGTATTAAAAGTGGCAAACCGAAGAAAACAAGAGTTCCCATAAATGGGGAATTGGCCTATAACTACATCTTGTGGATTTCTAGCACAGCAAATCATAAAATGGCTGCAAGAAATTCCCCCCAGCCACCCGAGGAAGAGAAATTGTCAAAACAAAACAACAGAGAGGGGTGAAGGCCACATCAAACCCTTCGGGAGTAGAATCTCTCAGTGGAGCTTAAAGTGCATCTGAAGGGCTTTTGGATTAATTGGTAATCACGTGGTTTTGTGACATCATCAAAGCTCAAAATCTTCTTTTGCTACAGGAGTAACATGGTGCAATCTTGAATTCTGGATCAGTTTTTTTTTTTAAAACGATCCATCTAGAGCAGGGGTGTCAAACTCACATCATCAAGGCACCATCACATGGCTTATCGCAACTTTTCCCCCTTCACTAAACTGAGTGCGACTAGGGCGTGATACATCTGGCCCAACACCCCTGGCTAGAGTCATGGCAGCTAACATATTTTCCTTTTATTAGCAGATTTTTAGTTATTATTCGAAGGTTTCCAGGTCTGCCTGTGATTTGTGAACCACCTAGAAAGATATGGTTGGCTTTAGGTAGAGCGAGGGCATTGGGAGCAGTTCTTATGGTATTATTTGTTCATGTAAGCTAGGAATCAGATTTAGGAATCAGATTTAGGATCTCAGCCTGACAACATAGAGTGTCATCCATAAGTTATCTCAATAGGCAAATCATTTTGGAGGATTGAGTGGGCACATTTGAAAGACTTAGACAAAGGGGCGACACTTGGAACTCTTGACATTGTACACATTTTTGTTCTCCTTGTAGAAACACAATTTATTCCTAAAAACCTGTTGGATAGTTTGAATTTCCAATAGCTGTTGGATTGCGGCCTCCATGAGACCCCTCTTTGTGTTGTCTTTTGATATGGGGCAATGTCTGAAGAATCTCGGGGGTGTGGAGAGAAATTTGAGTATGAGGCCTAGTCTCACTATGTTTAGGACCCAGGTGTCTGTCGTGGTTGTCTCCCATTGATTTGTGAATGGTCCTAAGTGACCACCAATGGGAGAGTTGGACCTGTGGTCACTTGTAGCGATGGTAGGTTGACCTCTGGAGCCAAACCCTATCAATGACTTCTTCAGCTTCAATCACAATAATACACGGGCAAACAACCAATGCAAACTCAAGGTAAACCACTCTAAACTCGATTGCAGAAAATACGACCTCAGCAACAGAGTGCTCAACTCCTGAAATCCCCTACCTGAATCCATTGTTACAGCCTCAACCCTCACAGCTTCAACCTCAAACTGTCTACCATGGACCTCACCCCATTCCTAAAAGGTCCTTAAAGGGGGCATACATAAGAGCACCAGCATGCCTACCGTCCCTGTTTTACTGTCTCCATTTATCTGTATTTACTTCCTTTGTTCCTGTTTATGTTCATACTTATACTTGTTATCTTGTACATGTTTGACAAACAAACAAACAAAGAAATAAATAAATAAATGTAATGTTGGGCAGGGAAGGGGGAAGAACAGTCAGAATCTCATCAATGATGTTTACTCAGAAGTAAATCCTACAATCTCTGTTAAGATGTAATCCCAGGAAGATGTGTATAGTAGCTTCCTGTGAGAGTGTCTTTGTGGGAGTGATCTTGGGAGACTGGGCCCAAAGATGTTGCCTGGGGGAATGGTTAGATAAGAGACAGCATAGTCCACAGCTCGATAATAGGCAAGGCAAGAGGCTGAGAAGAGACCCTCCCTAATTTCTCAGGGTGTAAAGGAGATAGGGAAGAATTGTACTTCAGATTTGAAACATGTTGGTAATGTAGTCTTACAATAAGCCTTAACACAGGGGTGTCAACTCGTGGCCCGTAGACCAGATGCATCATGCGCTGACCATACCCACATCCGGTATAGCAAAGAGGGGAAAAGTCATGATATGTCACGTGACGATGCTATGATGACACGAATTTGCCCCCCCGCCGCCTTAATATATCTGGTCTTGTTTCCTATCTGATCTACAGTTCCAGATCAGTATTTTTCAGACTTGTTAACTTTAAGATCAGCTTAAAGAATTCCCAGAATCGGCCCCCAGAATTCCCCAGCCAACATGAGTTGAAGTCCACAGATTGTAGACAGGCTTGAAAAAACATCACTGCAAACTGATGGAGATGGCCTCTTCCAGAATTACAAGTCAACAGGGCTTTGGGTTAAAAATTCAATCAATTACAATCTCAATACATTTAGAGGCAGCAGAGCTGAGGATAATTCACATATTGCTGTGACAGTTGTATCTAAGAATAAACATGTTAAAAATCCCTGGGAATATTTGCACTGACATTCGTTAATCTTGCATGAGTTATGGATGTGATTCTTTGAAACATTTTAACCCATACCTTGCAAAGAAAAACCTCTAATGAACCTCTAATTCAAAATTATCATAATGAAAAATTCAGAAAAGTAGAAGAGTTAAGCAGGTAAGATGTTAAAAGCAACAACAGAATCAAGATGATTAATTTTCCAGGCCTAGCTTACTAAAGACATTTTCACCAAGTGCCTTAAGATCAGTCGGTTGGGAATTAATAAACTATTCCACACTGTCACAAGTCAGAACACCAATTCTGGGCCAAAGCAACCATAGATGTGGGTGGGCTGCTGGGGTTTCTCCCGAACCCCTGGCTAAGATTCTGTGCCATTCGGAGAACCTCCAAATCCCACTTCTGGCTGGCCCTGCCCACTCCACTGCACCCCACTCAGGAGTCCCCACACGGTCCATTTTTGATGCAAGTAAGTGCAGGGCACAAGCAGAGGCTCGGGGAGGGTGAGAAACAGGCCTCCTAAAAGTTTGGGAAGGCCAAAAATGGGCTCGTTTCCAGCTTTCAGAGAGCCTCCGGAGCCTGGGGAGGGCAAAAATCCCCACCACCGTGGTGCAGGAGGCCAACTAGGCCACACCCACCATGGCCATGCTCACCCAGCAACCAGACAGAGAACCCTTTGCTAAAAATTTTTGAAACCTACCCATGGAGCAGACTCATCTTAACGATGACATCACAGCTATTATATCACCTACCTGATGGGGAGATATTGGAGATAGCAAACTTCTCAGGTGCAATCATCATTGCAAAGGCCCTACGCAGTTTATATAATGTTGATTCTAGAAATAAAGAATGCAATAAGGGAAAATTGGTTATGCAGCTCCCAACTATTTTAAGCCAAGGCCTTTGCAAATAGTTTGTACCCTTCTAAAAAGAACTAAGTTCTTGAAATTTGGGGTGGGGGGTGGGGGGGGGTTGGTCTTGACCTTTTGGGGGAAAAATACATTGATGACAAAATCAGAAGGACATCAGATCATCTTCATTTGAAAAAAAAAGCTTAATTGGGCTAGAGCAGAGTGAGAACTGGAATCTAAAAGTCTGATAGTTATTAGGTCAAGTCAACTGATGAATCTGGGCAAAATTTAGTACCCTCATAGTGGTCGACTGATACAAGTCTTATGTTTCTTTGATGGACAAGTGAGAAAATGACTTGATTTTCTCACTGGTTATAGTATACCATTCTAGAAGAATTAACCCGGAGTAGAGGGCAGTCTTAATGTCTGCTGTAATATTAGAAGGATAGATTCAAGATCATATGAAGTCTTAATACCACTTTATAATACCTTGGTAAGACCACACTTGGAATATTGCATCCAGTTTTGTGGCCATGAAATAAAAAAAGATATTAGATTTAGAGTGCAGAGAGGAACAACAAAAAGGATTAGGGACTGGAGCAGAGGTGGGTATTCAGCAGGTTCTGACCAGTTCTGGAGAACCAGTAGCGGAAATTTTGATTAGTTTGGAGAACCGGCAAATCCCACCTCTGACTGGAGATTTTACAGTATCCTTCCCCTGCCACGCCCACCAAGCTACACCCACAGAACCAGAAGTAAAAATTTTTTGAATCCCACCACTGGACTGGAGGCTAAAAAATGGTTGAAGGAATTGGGTATGTCTAGTTTCATGAAAAGAAGGACTAAGGGTGACATGATAGCAGTGTTCCAATATCTCAGGGGCTACCACGAGGAAGAGGGAGTCAACGTATTCTCCAGAAGAGAACCAAGAACTAGAACTAAGGAGAAATTTCCTGAGAGTTAGAACCATTAACCAATGAAATGCCTTGCCTCCAGAAGTTTTAAATGCACTTTAAGTACATTGGAATTTTTTATGAAGAGATTGGACAACCATTTGTCTGAAATGGTATAAGGTTTCCTACTCGACCAGAGGGTTGGACTAGAAACCTTCTATGATCTCTTCCAACCCTATAATACAGTCATTCTGCTTTCAAGGGAAAATGATTAAGGGACGAAAATAATGAGGCTTACAAGTTATGTAGGATGGGTACCCAGCAACAGAAATACAAATCCCGTCTCACTTTTTTTCCAAAACCTCTTTAGCTTCAGGGAGGGGCGTCTCTCCTTTTCTGGCCCCCAAAGTGGCATTTCCCTTGCACAGACAGGAGGAAGCTCTATGGTCAATGGAATTCTAATCCCACCCATTTCTTTCCTACCTCCTCACAAGAACGCATCAACAATGCCCAGGTTGCTGTTTAGAATATTGGCAATATTCTATAGAAGGCCTTCAGAACTTCTCCCTTGAAGGATGCTCCATTGATTGGCAATGAAATACTCTTCCCAGAGCATCTGAAACTGACATTTTATGGTTGACTGAATTTTTTTAAAAAAATCATAAAGAACTAAAACCATCCGCCCAACTCTAAAACAAGTTACAGGGTGGTGCTTAAAACATTTCTGTACGTTAAAAACCAGACCACCCTCTTTATTCTTTTTTAAGGAAATAACATGGGGAAAAAATTAGAAAGACGTTACCCCCCCCCCCCACACTCCAAAATAGGTTTTTAAGGAAGTTGTATCTAAAAAGTGGTATTCGATAACAATACACAGTTTTCTGCCTTGTATAAATTTAAGTAGAAAATTGTCCCTGATT